AAAATTTAGTCCTAGAAATATACATTTTCCTGGGGATTTTGTAATAGTATTAGTTATCAATACTACAATCAGAAGTTTCCATAGCTGAATAAAGAGTCACCAACACTTATCAACCAAGCTTTTCAACCATCACTTTCAGCAACCATTCTGAAAGGGAAATGACTGAATTACTAAAGGAAAATAGGAATGTGAAATAGAAAAATGTCATGGGTATAATCTGAGGCAATACATTGATGGCTATTCTCTTTCTCAAGGTAGCCAGAACAGTTTTGTAACAACTGTGAATAAACATTCATTCAGATTTAACTCTTTAAACACAATAAAGCCCAACACACTGGACAATGTGCTAAGTTCAGTCAAGCTGATTTAATGGGTATAAACTTAAGCATGCATCTCCCTTCACTTTTGTAAAGGAAAGTACACAAAAATGCAGGATACTATCCCCCAAATTGCTTAACATCCTTCTGAACAGACTGGAATTTAATAAGTAACAGATCTTCCTCTTCTCCTCGCGGGGTAAAGCACAGTTCGGGCCACCTCTCCCGCTGGCCCTGCGGACCTAGCAGTCAGCAGGAGGCCTGTACTCACACAGATGCCCAGCGCGCCTGCCCCCATCCTCGCAGGAAGTGTCTCCAAGTAAAAAAGTAGGCGAAACCCTACAGTTCTGCCGTGTGGGTATGCTTAGGCTTCAGAGGCCCCGTGGGCGGTGGAGAAGAGTGGCAGCTCCAAACACCTACAGAGAGTGGGGCTCGGCCTCTCCTCAGGCTGAGCCCAACTAGCTGAGCAGCCAGAGTTGAAATTTGATCCGGGTGCATCAATGTTGGAAGACAGATGAGTCACGTGACTCAGGTCTGAAGTTGCTGACATCCTCCTCTTAAACCTGACTCCACTGCTGGATGCCATCCACAGGCCCTGCAATCAAAAGGCCGCCGCTCACCTGCCTGGCAGTGTTCATTAACAGGTCTAACGGAGCAGAAAGGTGAAGCCTGGGCTTGCTTCCTTGTCACAACTCGTCACTCTGGAACATTTACATCTGCAAGCACATGTCTCATTTGCCTGAAGCAGTTTTCTATCCTCCACTAGTAACCAGCAACATTCTACCCGTTCCTTTCCCTGAACCTTTATCCTATCAGAATTGTTCATTGAAATGAAAATGCTCTATTTTGTGAAGCTGTTACTGTTTGTAATTACTTTCAATTATCTTACCTATTTTGATAAACATAAACAACATACTTTAGACCTACATAATTATAAGTCCATGATTTGCAGTGTGAAATATTAGCCTGTATCCCAGCTTTCATAAATTCTATTCCTTATTCTGTGTCATTAGAAAAACGTAACAGATTTTAATTTCCAAATATATCTGAAAGGAGAACCATTTCAGGTAAGCCAGAAGGAAACTATCCTGTTTATTACCATTTTTTCCTCTCAAAAATTTAAAAAATATATTTGCCACACTTAAAGAATGCTAATATTTACATGTAATGTTTCCTTTGATCCAACTTTACAAGATTTCAGTTGTACCAATAAGGCATAATATCTGAAGGAGAATAGGTGAGTGGAAAAGGGAAAACTCAGCACCCATTTCAATACTTCCTTTCAAATGCAATAATCCTTGTATACTTGTAACCAACCAGCGCTACCCACAAATACCAAATCATGTTAAAGCGAACCACAGGACTTGATATCAAGTACAAGTTATTTCTATTTGTCTTATATATAAAACATTGTGTAGACTCTACCTCTACAGGCAGAATAATACAACCCAAATCTCATAAAAGGGAATGAAGTAGGGAGAATGAACAAAATTTTCTCTATTAAAAAAGTTTTTCGACCTTAATTTGGATTCTAATTTATGTTTCCCATTGACCTTAGAGAACTGGAATGATTGCTAAAGAACATTATCAATAATAAGAACTTCTAAAACTTGTCTTCTAAACATTAGGCCACCTATAGGCCCATTATTTTTTTTTCCATTTAGTTTATTGGTACATTTTAGGTATACAATACAGTTACATTCATCATTGGGCTCTTGTACCTTTACATGATGTATCTTGGTTATTATTTTTTCCCCATTCCCCTACCCTCCCTTCACACCCTCCACCCTTCCCTATTTACAAAGACTTTGTTTCCATGTTTTTCCTTTTCTCATATTTTTTCTTTTCCCTTCTTTCCTTTCCCCTACCCCTCCCACTTCCCCTACTCCTTTAGACACTTTCTTCCTATTTCACAATATCAATTATACATTTTGATTCTTATTTACACTTTCAGTTTTTCACACCAGAGAAACTATTTGGTATTTACACATGTGTGTCCTATTTATTTCACTTAAGAGTATGTATAGGTCCATTATCTAACACCACCCAATCAATACTTTTTACCTATACCGGGCGGACGCTGTGCCACTACTAAACAGGCACTAATAAGAAAGACACGGTACCATCTCTCTTGAATACTACAGTAAGAGGTGGGGGGAATAAAAATAAATAACCCTTTGTGACTAGAAAATGCAAATTATAAGAGTTAGGACACATTGCAAAATATGGCACCCTGGCACACTAAATACTTGAATCTGAAGGAATGCGAGAGAACTGCAGAGCCAGCCGGAAAGCCATTCTCTTCTTTGCCTGCCTTTCAAGCCCTGAAGCAGGCCACAAAACCTCGGATTTCCCGACCTTTCCCTGAAACAAGTCATGACACCTTCACATAGAGATGTCCTTCCTCCCCCTGGAGAACATCCTTTTCTCTGCAGAGGAAGGGTCACAGAGAAGGAGCTGAACAAATGGGCCTTGCTAAGTTTACCGTTTACCATCATTAGATCATCTCCCTTTGTCCCGCCATAGTTCTCCAACCTAACATAAAAATACACAGGTGTATGGAGCTCTTTGGGTCTTCATTTCCTTATGAAGGCTTTCATGTCACACAGCATTTATTAAGTGAATCTGAATTATTTTTTCTTATCAGTTTGTCTTTGGTTATAGAGGCCTCAGCCATGAACCTAAGATGAGTGAAGAAAAAATATTTTTATCCCCCTACACAGATGTACTAATAAAGAAGCAAAAAAAGTGAAAGAGGAACAGAGGACATCCAACATATCACAAATCTACTTCTAGAATATTTCAGTATATTTTCTATGCTTGTTTAAAAACATAGTTTAGATCTCTAATTTATGTGCCCCTCAAGCCCTTGTAATTCCCTAAGTGATGGGGTGACAGACTCTTTTGTTGGTCTTGGTCCCCAGTTCCTGACCACAAAAATCCTAAGACCCCTGGAATCCTTGAAGTGACAACAGTACTTTTTGTATGCTAATGAGATGACTGTTGGCTGGGGCCCTAAGATACTTTGAGGATGGGGCTGGTGAAGGATAAAGTGATTTTAGGATACTTAGTTTCAGTGTATAATTAAGAGGGTTGTAATGTTCAGATCCTTCCCTGACATCTGGAGAGGAGAAAGGGACTGTAGATTGAATTAAGCAGCAATGGGCAATGACTTAATTAATTATACCTGAATAATGTAACCTCCTTAAAACCCCTAAAAATGGGGTTTGGAGTCCTAGGTTGGTGAGCACACAGAGGCACTGGGAGAGCAGAAGGCCAAATGAAAGTATGGAAGCTTCACATCCCCAAGAGTCCTGCCTTGCCTTATATATCTCTTCCATTTGGCTGTTTCTGAGTTGTATCCTTTATAACTCGCAGGATTTCCATCGAAAATATCCCCAAACTCTCATGTGTTCACAGGCAGTGCTTTTGGATGCCCAGTGGATCATGAGGGCTCTGACTTCTGGACATGGTTAAGTTTATCGTTTTATTGGGAGGTAATAGAAACAGGAGGTAGGGACTTGAAGGGAGTGGATCATGAGGGTGTGACCTTGGAAACTACATCTGATCTCCATTCCCTTCCTCTCTAGCTTTTTCCCTCTTCTAGGCTTCCTGACAGCCAGTAGGTGAGCAGTCTCTGCTACCATATGCTCCTACTGCCAGAATACTCTGCCTTACCACGAGCCTAGAAGCAATGGAGCCAACAGACCATGAATTGAAAGCTCTAAAAATTGAGTCAATATAAACCCTTCCTCCTTTACATTGCTATTCTCAGGTATTTTGTCACAGTGACAAAAAACTAACACAATAACAAACCAGAAACTGTAAGTAAATGCTGTTTTCTTAATTATGTGAGTCATTCTGGCACATTATTAAATTCAAGGATGGGGTAATGGGAACCTTGATTTATAGCTGTTTGTTCAGAAGTGTGGGAGGCCTAAGACTTGGGATTTTGGTGTTTTATGGGACTGAGCCCTTAACTTGTGGGATATGACACAAACTCCATGTGGTGTCAGAACTGAGCTGACTGTAAGATATCCAGCTGATTTTGTAGAGTTAGCTGATGTAAGAGAGAGAAAAACAACCTCATATAAGTAGTCTATGAGTAGGAAAAAATCACAGCACCAAATGATTACATGCCTTGTCACCATTTCTAATAGGTATACATATATTTTATGTTATGGCTATTATTGCATAAAGATGACATAGTATTGTTAAAAAGTTAGTCCTAAAATTTGTTTAATTTCTTTAGCATTTTAAAGTAAAATTAGTCCTGTGCTTACAAATTTTTATTCTTATTCTTCATTGTGATGACTAGATGTCATTTACAAACTCAAACTCTGTATAAACCCTTTAATAAGTAGCACTAAAAGACACTGCTCTTCAATATTTTTCCATGGAATATAATTGAAATTAGCATTTAAAGTATTGTCTCCTACCCCCAAAATGGATGCAAATTATTAGAGTTCAAAAAGCTCTCTTTACATACATATAAATATATATAATATATATGTATTCCTAAACACTGATTTACAAAGAACATTAAGATATGTAAGCTATAGCCAGGAGATTTATTGATATAAAATATGAGCATTACTTTTTCCCCAGAAAGGACAGAAGAATTGTTTAAAAGTACTTTTTTGAATAGCCCAAAATACCATGGCAGGACAAAGAATGACCTACCTTCAAAAAGGTCCTGGGTACCCTGTAGAATCGAGTCAAGGTGACTTCACAACTGAGGGTCAGGACCCTCCAACGCTGTCACTTGAACCACCCTCTGGGCAGGGGAAACTGGAGAATATATCTTGACTGAGGAAACCAAAGGGGCTAGGTTATACTGTGTCCTCCAAAAAAGCTAAAAATGCTTCAAATTCAAGCTGTCTATCTCAGTGAGCAGAGCCATCAATCTTCAAAGGATAAAAATCCTCTCAGCTGGAACAGAAATAAGAATTTTCAGTAACACAGTAATCTACACAGTACTCTCAGCCATTCAATGAGGATGAGAAGATCTCATGGGGTGGGGGTACAGTAGCCACAATAGCACAGACCACCTGAGGCCCATTGGAAATGGGCAACTAGGGCTTTTCCCTCTAAGTCAGCCATTTTCTACCCCAGCTCTAGCTCCATGCCAGCCTGGACCAGAACTGATGTCATCCTACTGACAGGCTATCAGAAGTCATTTAGTCAGCAACTATTTAATATTTATGTAAACCCTTTTGACCAGTCAGAGGGTTTAAAGTAGTTTGATTTTTTAATCCTTGAAGGATTTAATACTTGATGTACCTGAGAGTTTACTGCTTCTAGGTCCAAGAGCAGTCAGCTCCAGCCTGGGAGCCAAATCCAGCTATCCTAGACCATATCTGGCCACCAAATCTGGCTGCTTTGGTACCTACAGTGGGAGAGCTGAGTAGCTGCCACAGAGACTGAACTTATGGCCCATAGGCTGAAAATATTTACCATGTTTTAAAGATAAAGTCTGATGATCCCTGCTCTAGACTATTCAATAACATTACTGGCCATGAGTCTTCATATGCATATAAAAATATGCTTTAACTCTGGGGAAAATAGCAGAAAATAGGTCTTGGGTTTGTTAATCTACTGTTACCACTGTCCCATTACATGAGGATGGGCCTATTCTTATCCTCTTCTGATTATTTTCTGAAAGACTTCTCTGAAATAGGTCAGTTTATCATCTGATGATCCAATGTCTTGTTCTAAATTCTAGATGTATTCCCATTCTGCCTGCGGGAAAAACTCAAAACAAACACACAAGTTCCTGGGAAAAACAGTTATTCTATAGCCCTGAAAATGAAATAGTCAACATAACTAATTTTAAACTAACACAATCAATTGGAAACTTATCTTAGTAAACTGCTTTGGAAGTGTACCCCTCAGTCTGGCTAATACAAGATGGCTCATTCTGTAAAACATGTTACTGAGTGTCAATCACAGCTATCATTCAGCTTTGTCTTATTTCAGGTACTAAATAATGGTTTCATCATTTTTTTTTTTTTTTTTTTGGTACCAGGGATCAAACTCGGGACCTTGAGCTTGCAAGGCAGGCGCTGAAACCACTGAGCTAAATCCCCCGCCCTAATTTCATCATTTTTTAAAAAGTGCTGAGGATTGAACCCAGGGCCTTCACTTTGAACTACATCTCCAGCCCTTTTTGTTTTTTATTTAGAGACAAAGTCTTTCTAAGGCTCTAAACTACCTGGGCTGGGCTCAAACTTTCAATCCTCCTGCCTCAGCATCCCAGAGTATAGGAATCGCAGGCATGTGCCACAACACCTGAACCGGTCTCATCATTCTTTGACACAATTGATAGTTTAGACATCCCAATTCCATGGGCTGTTATTTAAACTCCACTGTTTAACCAAACCACATTGCATACAACTTCATAAAACAAACTCTAATGGGCATAAAAGATCAGATAAACTCAATACAATTATGGGGGGGGGGTTCTCAATATTCCACTATCACAAATACTGTAGGTCAACTAAACAAAACATTAAGGCAGAGATATCAGAGTTGAGCCAAACAAATGGAGTTAATAACTACACAGTGGTACTTCAGTTCACAGACAGTTTTCTTTGAGAACAATTTGGTTCTCAAACAGAAGTGTTTGGCAAAATTTTGTCTCTGTTTGGGAACTCTACATTGGGTGAAAACACAACCCTGGCCATCTTTCCCTCATGAATACCAGTGTGGTCATCTTTTCCAGAATCATAGAATGAATTAAGTTCATTAACTGAGGTACCACTGTATATAGAGTGTTCCACCCCCAAACAACAGAATACACATTATTTTTGGCTGCACATGATACTTTCTCCAAAATAGACCACATACTAGTGAATAAAGCATGCCTAAGCAAATGCACAAGAATCAAAATTTTACCATGCATATCAATATCACAGTGCAATGAAATGACAAATCATTAGCAAAAGAATCCATAACACTAAGCAAACATATAGAAATTAAACAACACACTACTGAATAATCAATGGATCACAGAGGAAATTAAGGAAGAAATAAGACAGTTTCTAGATTTAAATAATAATGCCAGTGTCCCAGAACTTAAGGGGCACAATGAAAGCAGTCCTACAAGAGACATTTATAGCTGTGAATGCCCACATCAGAAAAATAGAATGAGCCCAAATAAATAACCTAATGATGCATATCAAGGTCTTAGAAAAACAAGAATAATCCAAACCCAGAGCTTGTACAAGGAAAGAAATAACAAAGATCAGAGGAGACATTAATGAAATAGAGACTAAAAATAGTAGAAAGAATCAATGAACCAAAGAGATTATTCTTTGAAAGAATGAAATAGACAGCATCTTAGCAAAGAAAAGACACAAATTAAAGCAACTGGAAATGAAGATGGTGAAATCACAATGGACACTGCTGAAATCCAGAAAGTTATTAGGAACTGCTTCACATATATAGGCCAAATAACTGTAGAACTCAGAAGAAATGGAGAGATTCCTAGCTATATATGAACTGCCAAAACTGAACCAAGAAGACATAAAAATCTTGAACAGTATAGTAACAGGGAATGAATCTGAAACATTAATGGCAAACTGTGAAAAGCTCAAGACCTGAAAGATTCACAGATGAATTCTACAAGAACTTTAGGGACAATTTAACACCAATACTCCTCAAACTTTTAATGAAATTGAGAGGAAAGGATTACTTCCAAAATCACTATCAGAAGGTAACATAATCTTGATTCCCAAACCAGTCAAGGATGCAACCAAAAAAATAAGAATTGTAGGCCAATTTCTCTAATAAACATACATGCAAAAATCCTTAACAAGATACTGGCAAATAAAATGCAACAGATCATCAAAAAGATCGTACTCCATGACCAAAAGGCTTCATTCTATATGTAATTCCCATTATGTAATTCATTACATAAACAGAAGCAAGGACAAAAATCACATGTTATCTCAGTAAATATAGAAAAAGCCTTCGACAAAGCCTAACACCCACTCATAATAAAAAATCCCTGAAGAAAATAAGTATAGAAGGTCTTTATCTCAACATGATAAAAGCTATTTATGACCAACTTACTTCTAAAATCATATTAAAAGAGGAAAAACTGAAAGCTTCCCTCTAAAATCAGGAACAAGACAAGGATAGTCATTATTACCATTCCTGCTCAACATAGTCTTAACATTAGCCAGAGCAATCATACAAAATAAAGAAATAAAACGGATATGTATAGGAAATGACTACATCAAAATATAATTATTTGCAGATTATATATCCTTTACTTACAATACCCAAAAACTTCACCAAAAGACTTACAGAATTCATAATCAAATTCAGCAATGGATCAGGCTGTAAAATAAATACAAAAAATCAATAGCATCCCTGTACACTAATAATGAACTCACTGAAAAACCTATTAGGAAAACAATACCATTCACAATAGTATCAAAAAAATTAAAACACTTAGGTTTTAACCTAACTAAGGAAGTGAAAGACTTCTACAATGAAAATTATATCAGACTAAAAAAGGAAATTGAGGAGGACATCAGAAGCTGGAAAAGTAGCCCCTGTTCTTGGTTAGGGAGAACCAACATAATCAAAATAGCTATACTTCCAAAACTGATACACAAATTTAATGCAATCCCAATCAAATTACCATCATCATTTTCACAGAGCTGGGGAAACAACTCTAAAATTTATATGGAATTAGAAGAGGCCAATAATAACAAAAGCAATCTTGGGTAACAAAAGCATAGCAGGCGGTACCACAATTCCAGACTTGAAGTTACCCTGTAAAGTTACAGTGATCTTAACAGTATGATAATGGCACAAAGACAGGAATGTAGATCAATGGAACAGAATAGAAGAAGCAGAAACAGCTATTACAGGAATATACAGCTGTTTGATCTTTGACAAAGGAGCCAAAAACATACAATAGAGGAAAGACAGACTCTTTAGTAAATGGTGCTGGAAAAATTGGATATCCACATGCAAAAGATTGAGTCTAAATCCATATTAGTAAACTAAAATCAAAATGGGTCAACAATCTAAATGTTAAAAACAGAAATTTCATCTGCTGGACAAAATAGGTATGACTCTTGAAGACATAGGTGTAGGCAAGGACTTTCTGAACAGAGCCCCATGGCACAAAAAATAATACTGAGAATCAACAAAGGGGATCATATCAAATTAAAAAGCTTCTGCACAGCAAAGGAAACAATCAACAAAGAGATCAGACTATCTACAAAATGGGAAAGGTTTCTGGCGGCTATTCCATGGACAGAGGACTAACATCAAGAATATGTGAAGAACTAAAAAAAGACTTCCCAAATACAAGACCCAATCAAAAAAAAGGGCAACCAATATGAATAGACACTTCTAAAATGGAGAGGTACAAGTGGTCAATATATGAAAAAATACTCATCACCACAGCCCATCAGAGAAATGCAAATTAAAAATACACCGAGATACCATCTTATCCAGAAAGAATGGCTATTATCAAAAAAAATCTAATAACAAATGCTGTTGAGAATGTGTGGAAAAAGGAACTCTACATGTAGTTGGTGGGTATGTAAACTAGTATAAACACTATGGAAATCAATGTGAAGATTCTTCAAAAACTAAAAGTAGAAATTTCATTTGACCTAGCTATCCCTCTCCTAGGTATCTTCCTAGAAGAGGCAAAATCATAATACAGGGATACATGTGTATCCATGTTTATAGCAGCACATTTTTAATAGCTAGATCTTGGAAACAGCATGTATGTCCATCAACAGATGAATGGATAAGGAAAATGTGGTATTTACACAAAATGGATTACTACACTGCCATAAAGAATGATAAACTTGCATTTGTAGGTACATGGATGTGACTTGAGAACATAATATTAAGTTAAATAAGTCAGATACATAACCTCAAATACTGCATGATTTCTC